CTGCACTCCAGTCTGGGCGACAGAATGAGACTCCAACTCAAAAAAAAACAAACAAAAAAAAAACACTTTTAAAATTCAGAAAGTGGTATTAACACAACTGGATAGCCATCTGGATAAAGCAAAGTCGAATCCCAACCCACAACTCATATATTACATCAGAATGAATCCCAGATTGATTAAAGAGTAAATGGAAAAAAATAAACTATAAGTGCACTTGATTAAATCCTGATACATCCCATAGCACAGGGAACTTTTTTTTTTTTAAGTATAAAGCAAGACCCAGAAGTCATAAAAGAGAAAATTAATAGATTCAACTGCATAGAAATCTAAAAAGTAATAAAAGTGCATAAACCAAAAATGGCAAACAGCAATCTAGGGGATAATTGCAACTCAGATCACAGACAAAGGACTAATTTCTGTAATGCATGAGAGAGTACCTACAAATCAACAAGAATATAAGCAACCCATTATAAAATGGACAATGGATATCAACAGTTCACAGAAAAGGAAAGACAAACGCATAATCAAAGGGTCAACTTTACTAGAAATCAGAAAAAAATAAGATACTACAATAGCATTTTTACCTATCTTTTAAAGAAAATATTAAGCAGTTTTTAAAAACCAATTTTAATTGGAGAGAAAGCAGGAAAACTGGGATTATTTTTATTATTGAAAACAGAAATTGACAAAACCCCTGTGAAGAACAATATGGCAATAGCTATCAAAATTACAAATTAACAAATCTTTGACTAACCAATTCTATTTCTAGGAACTTATTTTACAGATATATTCCTACATGTTGAAATGACAGGTGATTAAGGAAATTCACTGCAACAGTCTTTCTAATATCAAAGATAAAAGAACTTGAATGCCCATCATTACAAAACTGATGAAATTAATTATAGTATAGCTATACATACAAAGGATTACTGTACCATCATAAGAAGAATCAAAATTCTGGAGTTGCTGTTCTATATATACTGATAGGGAATTATCTCTAAAATACACTGAAGGATGAAAAAAGAAAGATAGAATTCAGGCACACCACACCCCCTAGCACCTCCATGTATTCACCAATTTGGAAGCTCCCAGAACCCCACTATTAAGGGGATATTTTTGGAGGTTTAACTACATAGGCATGATTGATTAAATCATTAACTCAATCTCCTGTGCCTTTCTCCTCCCTGGAGGTTGGGGCATAAGGCTGAAAGTTCCAAGCTTTGACCAAAGACTTGGTCTTCCTAGTGACCAGCTGCCATCCTCACCTTCACCTGTAGCACCATCTAGGGGTCTTTCGAGAGTCTCCTCTAGAACAAAAAATACTCCTATCACCCCATCATTCAGTAAATTCCAAGGGTTTTCAGAGCTGTGTGTCAGGAACTGGGGACAACGACCAAACATCTTTCCATGACAGCATAATCCTATTGTGGTTTGCCATCTAAGAAGTTTGAAGAACTCTGGTCTAGGCCAGTGGTGCTCAAAGTGTGCTCCCATGACTGGGAGCTTCAATATTCCTGGGGATTTGTTAGAAATGCAAATTCTCAGGTCCCAGACTTCTAAATCAGAATCTTTGGGGGGGGGGGCAGGATCTATATTTTAGTAAAATTACCTCTATTCCTAGGTGGTTCTGTTAAAGTTTGAAAACCATTGATCGAGACTAATCTGGGGGCCCCCATGGAGCCCCAGGTATCCTCACCTTTACCTGTAGCACCAGGAGCTAATGAGATCACAGTGCCAGCTACTCAATTCCAATGTGAGGCGTTCGTCTTTGTCAGAGGTTGACAGTGCTAGGAGGATAGTTTCTTCTTCTAAGCTTGGGTATATCCTTAATGGAAAGCAGAAAATGATCTAAATTTTTACTACACGATTTGGTCCTTGACAGTGGCATCTGTAAAATGAGACTAAAACACTTACAGGGTTGTTGTGAGGTCTAAATTGTGTTGGTAAAATGCCTGACATCATACCAGACACAGCAGTCACTTGTTATACAGTGGTGGTAATTGGTGTACCTGACACTGCCTGCCTGTTACGACCATAATAGATGTTCAATAGATGTGACACCTTGTTAGTTGTTTCGCTAGAGAGGGAGGCAAGCTATTCTAGATTGTTCCTCTAATTGTGCCAGCCAGGGTGTCTTAGTCTTTTTTGCCCAGCATAATAGAAAATTACAGGCTGGGTAATTTATAATAAACAGAAATGTATTTGGCTTTCGGTTCCAGAGGCTGGGAAGTCCAAGACTGAGGGACCATATTGGTGATGGCCTTCCTGCAGCATCATAACATGGTGGAAGGCATGACATGGGAGAGAGGAAGAAAGAACGGGACCAAACTCATCATTTTATCAGGAACTCACTCCTGAGATAACAGCATTAATTAATTCATGAGGGTAGGGCACTCACGACCTAATCACTTCTTTTTTTTTTGAGTTGGAGTCTCATTCTTGTCACCCAGGCTGGAGTGCAGTGGCATGCTCACTGCCATGGCAGCCTTGACCTGCTGGGCTTAGGCAATCCTTCGGCCTCAACCTTCCAAGTAGCTGGAACTAAAGACGCATGCCGCCACCCCCTGCTACCTAATCACCTCTTAAAGCTCCTCCCTCTTCAGCCTTCCAAGTAGCTAGAACTAAAGACGCATGCCACCACACCCCGCTATCTAATCACCTCTTAAAGCTCCTCCCTCTCAACACCGTTGCATCAGGGATTTCTAACCCATGAACTTTGGGGGGCACATTCAAACCACAACACAAAGAGTCAGAAGAGAGATTATAATTAGGGAGGAGAAAAGAAAGCATGAAAAGGGGGAGGTGGGAAGAAAGGAGAGAAGGCAGAAGGGATGTCAATATTCACAAGAGCAATGGAGGCAATGGCCATTTTCTTAGAACAGGGAGATATGGACTGTTAAACACTATGTGGTCATTTCTTCTTAATTCCAGTTATAGAATTCAGAGCTGGAAAAGGGAACTTGGAGATCACAGACCCAGCTCCTCACTGCCCTGGGAAGCAGTCAAGGCCCTGAGAAAGAAAGTGTTGGAGATGGGGGGCAGAATTAGTTTCTGAGGACAGGCACTACCTGCTACATCTGACCATAAATTGAGCTCATTTATCTCCATGGAAACCTTTGAAGACGTTCAAGCGCCAAAGATGTGGGAAAGGACAACAGTGCTCCCAGTGGGATTTATTTCCTTTCCATCTTTTCTTTCTCATTCTTATTCACAGGCGTCTCCTCCCTCCTTTTTCTCTTCTCCACCCCATCCCCCTCCTTTTCATGGCTCTCACCCATTAAGGACCTAGTCTAAGAGAGGAGGCTAAGGTCACTGGATCTTCAAAGTGGATCTAGACCCTTCCAGCCCAGTGTGTCCCTACATCACCTGTCTCACAATTGGCTCTGACTGGGCACCAAGGTTTTGACTACCACCAAAAGGAAACCTCTCATTGGCTCCCTCAAAAATACTCGTAACCCTTGAATAGCCAGACCCACTCTGGACACACAATCTCAAGCTGCTCACCTTTGGATCTTTAACTATTAAAAAAAACCTCTTGCAAGAGAGATGCTATGAAAAAGATGGCTGTGAAAAAAATAGTTGCTCTACAAGTGCAGGCAGATGCAAAGTGCCCATACCTGACGGAGGAGAGGAACTGCTCTACACATTCACCACACAGGTGGACCAACATCATTTCTTAATCACAGCCCACAACTGTTGTTATAGAAAGCATTAAAAAATGCCCCCAGCCCCTGGGCTGAGTGACTACTACTAGAAGTTGGATTAGGGCATTTGGGGGTTGGCATTTTAATATGGAAGGGAGAGAGATGGCTGAGAACATATGGGTGGTCCTTCTAATCCTGCAGCTGGATGTTCAGGGTTCCCCCC